GTGGCTCAGTGGTTGTGGTCACGGTTTGATTCCGCATTTGGCACATGCCTGCGTTGCGGGCTCCATCTCCAGAAAGAGGCATGCAGGAGGCAGCTTATCAATGATTCTCTCTCATCACTGATGTTTCCATCTCTCTCTTCCTCTCTGAAGTCAATATATTTAAAAAAAGAATATATATATATATTAAAAAAAGGAAAGAGTAGGATTTCCAAATTAACAACTTACCTTGGAATCTAAAAAGAAAAAAATGGATCAAGGAATTCTGCCCAAACATCCTTGGCAGTACAGAGATCCAGTCCAAACTGGGAAGTTACTACTTTTCATTTTATATAAAAAAATATTTCCTAGATCAAGTTCCTAGATGGGGTTCCCATCCCTACACATCCAGGGCAAAACCTGGGGTCAGGAGATCGGTGGCTGGAGGCAGCACGGTGGAGTGTGAGAGCAGTGGTCTCCAAGGCGAGGCGCAGGGAGCCCCACATAACGTACATGTAGTTTATAAAGATTTGCCCATGTTTATATATAATGCATGAATCTACACTTACTTAAATGCATGTATTATTTACATATATATAAGTGTATGCTTATTTCAATATATATGTACACTTCTTTAAGTACATACACAGGTGAATACTGAAAGTTTCCTCACTGAAAGGAATGCATGCTCAGAGGTATTTGGAGTTCACTGGTTCAAAGAATGGGCTTTAGTGTCTGAGCTGCTAAAAACATACATAATAGAGAAAATGACAGTACCTCCTAGTAGTGAGGATTCAGAAAATATTAGGCAAAGTGCTTGGTGGTTTTTCCTGCTATTTGACCATCTTCCTGAGCACAGATCTCACATCTGTCCTGTGGGTCACATATCCCCTGGGCCTGGGCAAGGTCTGCACAAAGTAGGTGCTTTATAAATACCTGTTGAATGGATGGATGGCTGTCAGTAGGTCCATGTGGTGGCTTCCACACTGACGTAACTGCACCTGCATCTGTGCTGCACAGGCAACAGCAGTGAAGTATGAGCATGATAATGGCGTCATGATTGATTCACGCCCTGTATAAAACCAGGAAAATCATTCACAAATGTAGGCAATTTATTTTTAGTAACAAATGACTGGCAGCAGTCCTCCCAACTGATGGTGACTCACCAACGCGCTGTCCACGGAGCACATGCATGACAACCCATATGCTTCCGTGAGTCTGAACCAACTGCTATCACCAGACTTAATTCCACCTTGTGATCTAATCTGACTGGGGGCATGTTTACACATCTATATATGTAAAAGCCTAAGTGACTGAATGACCGAACGACCAGTCCTCTGGTCGCTATGATGTGCACTGACCACCAGGGAGCAGATGCTCAATGTAGGAGCTGCCCCCTGGTGGTCATTGTGCTACCATAGTGGGAGTGCCGTTCAGCGAACTTAATTCCACCTTGTGATCTAATCTGACTGGGGGCATGTTTACACATCTATATATGTAAAAGCCTAAGTGACTGAATGACCGAACGACCAGTCCTCTGGTCGCTATGATGTGCACTGACCACCAGGGAGCAGATGCTCAATGCAGGAGCTGCCCCCTGGTGGTCATTGTGCTACCACAGTGGGAGCGCCGTTCAGCGTGCTTACCGGGCGGCAGTGGTGGCAGGAGCAGTGGGGCCGGGATGAGCGGAGTGGAATGGGCTCCTCCCTGGCCGGCTGCCGCTTCACGCACTATTCCATCCCTTGGGGGATGTCAGACTGCTGGTTTCAGCCTGGTCTGTGGGGATAGGTCTGAAACCGGCAGTCCGTCATCCCCCAAGGGGTCCTGGATTGCAAGAGGGCACAGGCCAGGCTGAGGGACTCCACTCATGCACCAGGCCTCTAGTCACTATATAAACACTGTTTCTTTATAAAACCCAAAAAGGGGAAACGGAGAGAAATGAATGAAAAGTTTAAGAGAAGAGACCTAACTTCAATAAAGGGAGACTTTCTTTTTTCCTTTTTCTTTTTTTTTAAATATGTTTTTATTGATTTCAGAGAGGAAGGGTGAGGGAGAGAAATAGAAACATCCATGATGAGAGAGAATCACTGATCGACTGCCTGTGCACTCCCCTACTGGGGATCGAGCCCGAAACCCGGGCATGTGCCCTTGACCGGAATTGAACCCAGGACCCTTCAGTCCACAGGCTGACACGCTATCCACTGAGCAAAACCAGCCAGGGCAAGGGAGACTTTCCTGATGACGAGAGGTGTTTCGTCTTGCTGCTATTAAAGAAGCCATTGGTTTCCTTGTGTGGATCTGGTTTTTCTCCTGAGCATGGTTATAAAGACTGTTAAATACACAAACTCTTCTCCAAAATTCTATCATAATATTAGCTTTTCTCTCCCCCTCCCCTACACACACACGGCAAGCAACTTTTCCCTGATAAATTTCTACGATAAGAATGGCTTTATCGATTCTGACAAACAGTTCAGATTCCAAATTCCACGGCCACGTTTCTCCCATGGAGCCGCTCTCGGGCAATTCTAAGCCCTCGGAGGAGGAGCATGCTTCTCTCTCTCGGTCCCCTTCATCCTTCCAAACCAAGTCCTCATCTTTCTGGCGTCTTTGCGGCTTTGCAGGCCTGCAGCTGAGGCCGCCAGGCTGTAGCTGTGCCGACCGAGAGCCAGCAGATGCCAGCAGATGGCTGGTGTTTAATTCCAGCACAATTGGATATAGAGAAGCCTTGAACAAAAAATAAATAGGGGCCCACAACTTCCACTCTCTTGGGAGCATGTGAAATAGATCTTTCTTCTTCTTTTTTTCCTTAAAAAATACATTTTTCTTGATTTTGAAAGAGAGAGAAAGAGAGAGAGAGAGAGAGGAGAGAGAGAGAGAGAGAGAAATATCGACGAGAGAGCTGCCTCCTGAAGGTTCCTTACTTGGGATCGAGCTCACAACCCCGGGAATCGAACCAGCAACCTCCTGGTGTTCGGGTTGCTGTTCAACCACGGAGGCATACCAGCTTGGTGCTAGGACCTTTCTTAATCCCTGTGTCACGAAGACCTTATCTGGAAGGTCAAAGTCCAACTGCGCTGTTAATATAGGGGGAGATAATAAATGTTCTCTTCCTTTTTCCATTCCAACCACTACTGTTCTCAGGGAGATGAAGTAATGGGAAGAAGGCTGTCCTTGATATTCTTTATTTTATTTCTTATTTTTCTGTCCTTGATACTCTTTACAAAAATATCTTTATTGATTTCAGAGAGGAAGGGAGAGGAAGAGGGAGAGACAGAAACATCAATGATGAGAGAGAATCATTGATCAGCTGCCTCCAGCACGCCCCCTACTGGGGATTGAGCTTGCAATCCGTGCACATGCCTTGATTGGGTGGTCCTTGATACTCTTGTGCGATACTGGACTGTGTCTGCCCTCAGGTTCTCAGAG